GGTGGCTACACTCTAAAATTGGGCGGCTGCCATACTACATTCCTATTTAGAAATAACACTGAAAGGCAGCAGTGGGAAGCACACCCCACCCCCTCGGGCAGAACTTCAGGTAACATGCCTTGTTATCCACTATGTGGTGAGAGAATGGCTTGAGTCAAGGTGACAGGGAGTGTCACTGGCAGTGGTAAATGACTGGTTGGTTTGGTCTGTAAGAAGAAAAGTTGGAAGGTCAGAGACAAGGTGGTTTGGGGAAGAGGCATATGGATGGGTGGATGGATGGATGGACAAAATGAACACAAATTGTGAAGGACTTAGCTTTCCCAGGCTAATACCCACCCCAGAGCATCCACCACACAGAGCTCACTAAATTACAAGAAGACAGAATGATTTGACCCATTAACAACAGCCAACTTTTGTCATTGGCTTCCCCAATGTTAATACAATAGGCTCATAAATAGATTAGCCATGGAGACACTACAAGGACCTAGTAGTATGAGGTCCCACACATGAAGTTGTTCCAGCTACAACTACAGATGAATCATTTCTGGGCTGATAAAGTTATGCAAACAGCCTAGCAAAGTGCTGCTGAGATACCAGCGTAGAGATGATCCCTACAAGAATGGAACATTCTTCTCCAGAATGTTGTGCACATCCCTTTACATGTCTATCGATCAAACATTCTTTAATATCTGTAATAGTGGTCTGGCTGAGGCCCAGCAGGCAGGAATCTTGTTTAACATCATGTTGAAAAAGAATCCCACTATATAGTAAAAGAGGGGCAGTATGGGATTCACTGGTCCTATCCACACAACATCATCTAAAAACTGCTGGATGGATGAAGTTATTCAAACAGCTCTGCAAAAGTGCCACTGAGACACCAGCATAAGGATGACCTCATGCAAGAATAGAATCCTATGCACATCCCAGAATGTTTTGCACAACCCAGAACGTTTTGCACATCCCAATCCAATGATCTTTACATTCAATTGTAATCTGAACATATTCCCTGACATCAGTCCAGGAACCAAGGGGTGGAGCCAGGAGCATCCCTGATTTATCATAACCCCCATTTGAAGAATAAGAATGGCTTATTCCTGCAACTTTAGGTTCTGTCTTCTGATGGTCCTGACCCCCAGAGGGGTAACACTTCCATGAGGTACCAGAAGAGATTCATTGAATTTCAAATTACAGCACCACCCAGTCACTTCAAGATTCTCATGCCATGAGACCAGTAGGCAAGGACAGGGTCATCATCTAGATGATGTATATCATCTGGGTAAATTGACTTAAATCACCAGAGGTGGGACTGAAGTGGTTCAGGAAGGAATATTTTTGGCATTTAGGTGATGTGTAGCTGAATCTCTTTATTATCCTCTGCCAAATTGTTTTGATGACAAATGAACAAATGTAGCAGCCACATCCTGAAAGGGCACAGTGACCAGGGGCTCAAACTCCTGAGGAATGAGGTCTGGGCACCACCAGGTAAGCTGCATAGACCAGGACAGATTCCAGCTGAGAGTGGGAGGACTTAGAACGTAATATGAGAGGTAATGTATAAGTTGACACTTCAGGACCAGCTGCAGTGGCAGGAGCTGTAGTTTACCCCAATTATCTACCGTTTGTAAATTTATCCAGGAATTGCACCTATAACCCAGAATCCTGGAAAGCTTATTCCTATTGGAGTGAACTTACTTTATGAAACAATCCATCCATGCAGTGCAAGGGGTGGACTGTAGTGATATTGTGGCATCTGCTCAGGTCTTCCTTGAGACTGAGACATTTGTTTCTCAGTTGTGGGGTGGGTTGGCTGACAGCAGCTCACATATAGGCCTCACAGAAAATGCCCTCAGCAGAAGGAAGCTGCCTTGCCAAGGTTATGACCTCCCAACTAGTTAATGATACAGGGATATAAAGACCAATCAAATTTGCCTTAATTTAAGATGACTCTGAAGGACTCTCCAAGATCCAGAGCACCATGGAATAGCTGATATCTCTCTCGCAACTGCATTGTACCCTAGCTTTTATTCTAAATCATGCTTCATATATTCCTTTACTGATGTTCTTCTGACAACACAAACCTCCATCTCTGAGCCTTTTTCCAGAAAATCAGAACTAAGACAGCCCAGCATTTCAATTTTGGAAGGCAATAAAGGAGAAGTAAGAACTTCTGGTTATTTCCTTGGCCTATTCCTTAGGACTTTTTCTCCTACAATAATCTCATTCTCTCCTCATCTATGTGTTGCCATTCCAAAATATAGTAGTCCCTCCTCATCCATAGGTATAGGTCCAAGACCCTGAGTGTATGCCTGAAACTACAGATAGTAAAAGCCCTTCATGCAAACACTTGCAGTATTGTGACAGTCTGTTAACTAAGAAAGCTACAAAGTGACAATCAGGTGGGTAGCATATACAGTATGGATACACTGGACAAAGGAACAATTCATGTCCTGAAAAGAATAAATAGAGATTTCCTCACACTACTTAGGCATGCAATTTAACTTATGAATTGTTTATTTCTGGAATTTTCCATTTAAACTTTTTGGACCATGGTTGATGATGGGTAACTGAAACTGTGGGAAGCAAAACCACAGAAAAGGGGGAACTACTATAAAAGCAAAACCCAAAGATGCTCCAGTCTCCCCAGAGTCTTCTTTTGGTTCTAGTGTGCACACTATCTGCTTGTCAATGAGAAGAGGCTGACCTGCCTCAGAAGGGTGTTTCAGTTGCCCCATCCCACGTTCTTTGTGTACAGAGGTCCTCTCAGGGAAATGTGAATAAAAAGAAAAGTTTGCTGTCACCATTTAACCTTGGATTATGTAATGGACATTTTCATCCCCCCACCAAGTTAAAATCAAGCCAATCCAGACCACGTGCAGCTTATTACAACTCTGTTCCTCCTGGGGTAGTAGCAACAGCTAATATTATTGTTCTAAATATACAGAAGCCAGTTTTTTTTTTCTTTTTTGCTGTTGTTATTTTTGTTAGTACAAACCCAGAAGATCAACTAGGCCCTTTTATATCCTCCAGAACAATTGAGATGTATTTGGGTTTTTTGTTTTTGGTTTTCTAAAAGTTTCAACTGACTCATTTGGTGGGAACAAATTCACATGTCAGCATGTGGTCTAACCAATATGAAAAATCCATAGGAGGAAAAACATAACATTTTCAAATTAGATATATTCAGTCATTACACATTCTTGTTCCCTCCCCTTATTTAAAAAACTATTGACCGGCACCCCTCCTTATCAACTATGATCATGGGCCTGATTGATCACCATCAGTCCTGTTGTCTCACTCAGGTCACTAAGAAGAACAGCTTTGAGTGAAAGGGAACTTATTGCAAGAAATGCCTCATGAAACTTGAAATGAACATATAGGAAATCCAAACCTGTTGAAAACTAAACAAATTATTTGTTCTCTTTCTCTACCACCTGCAAGGCACCTTCACCTTCCTTCTCAGCTTCTTTCTGTGCCTTTGTTCCACATCTGGATTTTTGTTGTTGTTGTTTGTTTATTGACTCTATATTTACTCCCCAGACCTCATGGCCCAGTAAGGCTGCTACATCTCAGTTCTCTAGCTAAAGGCACCTCTTCAAATTCTTGTGTCTTCTATTCAAGTGCTTCAGGTTGAGTCTGAAGTCCCTGATCTACCTGTTATAAAAATAGTTACCCAACCTCATTCTTCAGCAAAGCCTATAGAGTTTTCTGAAATAATGAGGATTGGCCTTTTCAGGCACCCCAAACATATTTACTATGTTTCTTGGATATATAATTGAACCTCTTAACAAATTCATTCTGTTCCCTCTGACAGATAGTGAAGTGAGAGAGAAACTGTCCATCTCCTTGAACCTGAATATCATGTTTGGTTTTATATGGAGGTGCCCAACAAAAATGAGACTACTAAACCAAAGGTTCAAGAGTATAAAGTTTATTTTTGAAAAACAAGTAAATGGAGGAGGGATAGTTATTACAGTATTTTTTTCAATAAATTTTTAAATGTATCATTTATTTCTAATTTTAAAAATATATTAATTGAAAGCAATCAAATAAATTCCCTTTGAATCCCACTTCTCAGGATGCAAACTTAAGTAACTAACCATGACAGTATATAAAAATTACCATAATGAAACACATTAGGGATATATATAACTGGAAAAGTGTTACATATCTAACAAGAGGAATTTCAGTACAAAATTTTTAAAATAATTTTAGTTGTAGAGGGACACAATACCTTTATTTTAATTATTTATTTTTATGTGGTGCTAAGGATTGAACCCAGTGCCTCACACATGTGAAACTCTACCACTGAGCTACAACCCCAGACCTCGGTGACAAATTTATGTTTAGTGGATAAGGTTGGCTATCATGTTATCATTAAAAATAATCTTTTTGAAGACTATTTACTAACATGGAAAAGTGTTCATAATATGGTAAAGGAAAGTCAAAAGACAAAATTATATCTATATCTATATATATATTATATATATAAAATTTTATATATTTGCTATATATATGAATATATATATAATTTTATATATTTGCTATACTATGAATGCTCCATATGTACACATACATATTCCATTTTATCTTAAAATATTTGCATATAATGCAATTAAAGAAGAAAAAAGGCTGGGGCTAGGGTTGTGGCTCAGTGGTAGAGCACTTGCCTAGCATGCATGAGGCACTGCATTCAATCCCCGGCACCACATAAAAATAAACAAATAAAATAAAGGTATCCATCTACAACTAAAAAAATTTTTTAAAAAAGAAGATAAAAAAGAAATACATTTAAATTTCAACAGAGCTTATTTTTGAATGGTGGGGATATAGATAATTCTAATTTCTTCTTGATTGTTGACTTTCCCAAATTGTCAAAGATATATTATTTTTGTAATGTAGACTATGTCTAAAATACATGTTCTAATGACTTCTTGCTTGAATTTTTTGATTAATTTCTTCAGCCTTCCACCTCATGACAATGGATTTAAAACAGTGCTGGCTGAAGGAGAGAAAAGATGGCTGAGCCATTATGAAACATGACCAGAGCTAGCTTGGAGTTATTATTCCTCAGCTCATCTTTTGCTCATGTAGGAAGATTCCGCAGAAGCCAATAATTGTTTCAGAACTGCCATCTAACAGTAGGTATTTCTTACTCCTGGTTACAAGCTAACCTGACCTAACCTTGGCGATCATCGATAGTCAGTCTCGCAGTCCTGCTCCATCATGCCTGGGGTGGCTCACAGATTTTGTGAAATGATCACTTCCACCTTTTCTTCTTTTTTAATGAATGGTTAAATTTATTATGATAGCAGAGTGTTGACAAGCACGGCAGAGACTAAGAATATAGTTACTCCTCAAAATAAAATATTCAGCATTTTGACTGGCCTGGCTGAAGATTTATTTGGCAATAATTTCTTGGTTAAAATTCCCTGAGGTTTGTTTATATGGCTATTTTGGGTCCTTATTTTAAGTATATCAGCATTTTTTCCACAGCTTTAAGCTATTCTCATCTCAGCATGTAGGAAGTTAATAGGTAGCACAGAAGCTCGTTGCTTTAATTCCAGTAAGAACATAATTGTCTAAAAATGTAAGGCACCAGCCCTCCATCGCTCTGAAGGACTGACAAAGATGGCCGTGAACTCAAACTCATCCTAGCCATCAGGGCTACTAGGCAGGCAACAGGAGCAACCGAATTGGCAATACCTGGCACCAAATAATTTACAGTCACTGCCCATGAAGATGGAATAAGAACCACTTGGAATTTTCCTTTTGTTTTGTTTTTTTCCAGAAACAAAACTGCACAAGTTTTTTTTTTTTTTTTTGTTTTTTGTTTTTTTAAGAAGAGTAAAGGAATGCAGTCCCATTTGAGGCGATTACCATCTAGATGACACATTCACCCCAGTGGTACCACCACTCCTCAAGACATCTGTGGAATTCCTGTTTTGGAATTGCTCTCAAATATAGTTTTAATAATGCATCAGAAAATTAGTCTCCTTAGTTTCTAATCACACATGAATGAGATTAAAACATCAGATTACTCAACTTATTTACCAGACTGGGCTCCAGATGCCTTTTGCATTTTCTAAATAGCAGATCCTCTCACAAAACCAAAGTTTGCTACCAATAAATCCTTCAAAACCACATGCCTTGGTCTAAGACAGGAATTCCAAAAGGAGAATTCCAAACAGGATTAGAAGAATCACTGGGATAAGTGTACAGCCTTCTAACCTAACAACCCTGAACAGGGCATTTGGATCTGTAAGACCAGACACACTTAAAAAAAAAAAAAATTCTAACATTCTTTGATCCCACCAACAGTGAGCGGGGGCCAGCTATGCCCCAGAAGATGCAGTGGCAGAGATACACTAGGGTTAGCCTTTTCTCTAGACCAATGCCAACCTCAAGAGAACAAATTTCAAGATGTGACTTAACATGCTATTTTAGAATTATGCTAACTTGAACATCCCAATCAGAAAAATATGTATAGAATAGGGTGCTTGAAAAGTTGGAAAGATAACAATTTTAAAGTCTTTTCCTTTCTTTTTTTCTTGTCTTTAAAAATTTTTTTTCGCCTAGGTAGGACTTTGAAGCAAAGCAGGGAGGTGCTTTTGCATTCAGCTAAATTTAATTTATGTGCCTGGATAACCTCTGAGAATTTAGAAATTTACCTAACCTGAAATATACACAACTGTAGCTACCGACATCCCTTACAGTTGTTGTTATAAAGAACTAAAACCTTAAAATGCTGTTTAAAGTATCTTTGCAACATCAATATCAACATTAACATTCTCTCTGTACTGGCAAAAATAGTTCAACCGATCAATGACAATTAATTCAGTTTTAGTTGACATTTATAATTCAGACACCAAGAATTGTGCCACGTGCCAAAACACATGTTCTAGCTAGACTTTGTCAGCTGCAAGGACCTCAAATGTTGGGGTCTTCCTGTAACTGTAAAAAGGATGCCCTCTCCCAAGGCCCAGCTACAGTTCTGGAAGGTCACCCCTGCACTTCTGAATGTCTAGGTATCTGCAGATCCCTTAAGTTTAGTGGTATCTTGGGCTGGGGGAAGTAGTCTTGCTTGTGAGATGGCAGTAGGTGGGCAGGCAAAATCTGGAAAGACAGACAACTTGATATTCCCATGCAGAAGACAACCGGACACTTAACCAAACAGAATTGCATCGCCAAGAGAACATCAAAGTCCCTGACATACCCCAGATCATTATCTCATGTTGGGTGGCCTCTCCTGGAATTCAAGGTCTACTACTAAGAGTGCTCCCCCCACTTTTTAAGGCACCCCAAATTTGGGGGTGAGAGTCAGCCAGTTGGTCTCCTCAACCAGGACTCCTCCTGCATCATTTCCCAAGCTCCATCCTTCTGTCCTTTAGGTCCTCAAGGATTGGTCCATATAATGGAATAGCCTTACACAGTCTTTACATAAATGATACCATCATTGCATCTAAGAAATAAAAGTACCTGCCCTTTTTGACATTGATCTTGATTTTGTCTACTTCATCTACTTCTCATGGGTTCTTCTGAGATGCTGAGGGCAGATGTCTGAGACTGTGCTCTTGCACCTGCCCACCCCCCCAACCCTTCTTGACAAGTCAGTAATGCACATGCTTAGTGTGAATCTCAGACTAAAGAGCACAACTCCTCTAACCCAGGATTCTCTCTTTGTCAGAAATTATTAACAAATTATTTTCAACTCTCTAAAAACCATTACCCAATGATACCAATTGCCCAAAGCTCTATTTCTAAAATCTCATCAATTCAAATTAATTCATCCCTACCAACTTGAAAAGGTGTGTCTTGATTGAAAGACAAATCTCTTTGGGCAGATAGGCCTGAGAATACGCCATCGGTGCATAAATTCTCATTCTAAGTTACTATAACATAAAGAAATAGTGGAAGTAATTGAAATTGGGGTATATAATTGGGACTGTCAGTTTTGCTTATTAATGTGAAATAAGTAGTGTATACTAAGTAGACCAAAGATACTGGGGTTATTGGTTCAAGGTAAATAAGAATTTAAATGATTTGCTCTTATATAGGAAAGTTTTGTAAACAAAAAGAAAAACCTTGATTTGTGATGCTGGTTTTTTTTCTGTGATGTTACTAACATCCCTAAGAGTTTTAGGAAGAATTTTTGATTAATGCAAACGTGTACCGCCATTACATTCCAATTACCTTAGTGGCTGGGAATTCAGGTAATAAATGATCACAGATGAAACTGCCCTTGATTTGTTCAAATCTAAAGAGGATGATGTATATTTTCCCCCTTGATATCAAAGAAAATGTTAGAGTCTTAATATTATATCACATACCTGCTTTGAATCTTTGTGTTGATAAATGATATATATATATTTTTATTTCAAAGTATCTTGTAGCTACATAATCAGAATGAGTAGACATTAGCATTGGCTTTTGCCTTTATTTTGTAGGCAATATATAGTGCCTAACATATGCAGGCATTGCATTTGGCTTTGCAAAATATAACAATGAAGATATTATAGTTTCTATCCTCAAGGAAATTAATCTATCTGCAAAGATGGATAAATTAACAACTGTAAAGAATGTGATGTAATACATTAATGAAAATATGGACAAAGAACCTTGAAGGCATAGAGATGGTAGTAAATAATATATGTTTTTTAAACAACTGAGTATTAACCAAACGTTTATCTGCTCCCTTTAGGCTACACTGGAATGACAATTGTGAAGTGGATGAGTTATGCTAACCCTGACGCGATCTGGTACATATATTGGTTTTCTTCTCTCCTGTAGACACCTCTGCCTTATTTGCTAGAGAATATTGAGCAACAGTAGGCATTCATGATTTCCAAGCACTCAGAGAATTGCTGTGTGACCACTGAGAGAATTTTTCTTGATTGCTTTGGATTAAGAATTGCTACTCGGGTGAAATTAAGCCAAAACAGCACTCAGGAAGCAAGATATTTTGCTTGAGCAGAACATAAATCCAAACTGGAAATGGGGGCTGCCTGGGCTCGCTGTTCTGTAGTGCTTTTGAGCCTGTGAATCCCATCGCCAAGTCCTTGCTTCCAGACCTCAGGACATGGCTTCAGCAGGTCTGCCTGCTCCAAACCCACGCTTCCCTTTGCTTTCATTCTGTGGTTTCCAGGCCCATTTCAAGAATGCAATGCAAAATTATAATTTCATGGAATATTACGCAATTCTAATAGAAGGTCACTGAACTTGTCAAATTTCATTGACTACCAAGTCAGGTAGGTGAGTGGTCAATGGTTACAATTTGAATGATCCATTTTATGGTTTTAATATTTATATCCCCTCCAAAACTCATGTTAAAACTTAACCCCCAATGTTATGGTATTAAGAAGTGTGGCCTTTGGGAGGTCGTTAAGTTATGAGGACCCCATTTAGTGCTTTCAGAAATGAAGCTTGAAGGTCCCTTGCCCTTTTGTCTTTCCCACCACGTGAGGACACAGTGTTCCTCCACTTGGTAAATGCAGCAACAAAGGTATCTGGAAAGCAGAGAGCAGTCTTCATGAGACACCAATTCATCTAGTGCCTTGATCTTGTACTTCCCAGTCTCCAGAGCCAAGAGAAATAAGTTTCTGTTTTTTTATAAATCATGGTGTCAGGTATTTTGTTATAGCAGCACAAAATGGGCTAAGATGGTCCATTAAAGTAAAAACAAGTGGAGTAACTACAAAGTGAATACGGACCCTTTCATGACCCTCAATGAGGTTATCCCTCTTGGAATGGACATGAAAGAACTGAGTGATGACGAAGAAGTAATGGTGGAGGTAATGTGGAGGTAACGGTGAGGTATCACAGATGAATGTACCTCCCAAAGATGGCAGCAGTCAACTGAGGCTCAAAGGTCTATTTGCAGCATCATTAACTTACTGTGGGAACTTAGTTGAGCTATTTTAACTTCTTCTTACCTTAGATAACCCACCTATAAAAATAAATTAGAGAAAACTACATTGAGATTTTTGAAGTACTTAGATGAAAGATGATATGAGTGGAGAAAACTCCATTTTTACTCAATAATATACAATATTATTTAGAAAATATAGATTATTTTAAATTGGAGAGTCCCCAATTTTTGATATTAAAAATTATGTATTTGGCTTTGTGACCTCTTTATATTACTTTCCTTGTTAATTGTGTATGAGAGGGTTTACATTTTTAATGATAAATGTGATAAACACTCATACTAAGAAATTGATGGCACAGAAGGTTGAAAAGACTGGATTTTTGCCACAAGCAACAAGGTCACCACAAAAATTCTTATCCATTGGACACATTCCTGGAAGTGGGAATGATGGATCAAAGAGTACATGAATTCAAAATCAAATCCTGATGATTATTCCAGAAAACTTTCCACAATTTGTGTCCCTACCAACAGCGTTTGTCTCCATGCCCCCTCCTCCAACTTGGGTGTTACCAAACTTTTAATTTATCAGTGTTTGAAATTAGAATGTGAAATTTGATCGTAGCTTCTTTTTGTATACGTAGTACTTAATTGTAAGAGAAACTGAATGAAGTTTAAATTTTATTAAAGCCAGAGACCTTGTTTCAGAATTTAAAAACACTTAAATTATAGATAATACTCTGAAATAATGTAATAAGGGTAACCTAATTTGTGTTAGGAAAAAAAAAAGAACAGGTAAAATTTTTAAATAAGCAAAAGAAAATTTGATGTGCCCATTGAAAATAGAAAAGAAGGGCTGGGGCTGTCGTTCAGTGGTAGAGCACTTGCTTAGTATGTGTGAGACACTGGGTTCGATCCTCAGCACCACAGTAAAAAATAATAATAATAATAACAAATAAAATAATGGCATGCTGTCCATCTACAACTATAAAAAAAGAAAATAGGAAAGAAGAAAAAGAAATAGAAAGAAGGCATAATAAATGGAAAACATGGAATAAAATGGCAGCAGGATCTCATTATACATTCTAATATAATAATAATAATTATTGAGCTTGGAGGAGGTGTCCATTATCCAAACTACCCAGGAGGTTGAGGCAAGAGGATCACTAGTTGGAGGCCAGCCTTAACGATTTACCAAGACCCTATCTCAGAAACAGTTCTTATTATATTATTATTTTAAATGATAGCTATAACATATGACATATCACTATCATTTAAAATGTAAATTAATTAAAATGGAGATCAAAAGACAGAGAGACCTTTAGTATTTATTATTAATTATTAATATCTTATTAGTATCTATTTTAAAAATAGATACAGAAAGGTTGAAACTAAAGTGTTGCAAAAGGATGCACTAATTAATTACAGACCAAAAAAATATGAGAAAACAGCTTCAATATTTACATGCATTATGTTATAATTAATACTAACATTAAAGGAACATTAGATATATTTCTTGGGAAAGGTGGATTATTTAGAAAAGGCATTGGCTCATTACATGGAGAACAATAAAATTGGAGGCCTTACTTACATCATTACATGTAAAAATAAAAAAATATAGAAACTTAATACAAGAAAATGTCGTGGAATTTGTTGAAGAATCCCCCAGAATATAAGCTATAATAATAAAGGTTAATGGGCATGAGGGTGCATCTTTGAAGCGGCAGGGCCAAGTAGGAGGCCTCTGGGTCACTGGAGCTGTGCCCTGAGGAGAGTTGTGGGGTCCTGATGTCTTCCTCCCCTCTTTTCTTTTGTTCCCAGACATGAAGTAAATGAACTTTCTCTGCCACATCCTCCTGCCGTGATGTACTGTGTTGCTGCAAGTCCCAAAGCAACAGGGCCAACCAATCATGCACTGAAACCTCCAGAACCATGAGCCAAAATAAATCTTTCTTCTTGTTAAGTTGATTACCATAGATATTTTCTTACAGTAACAGAAAGCTGACTAACACCTGTGTGCTCCTGTAATTTCCATCTGTTAATGCCCATTGTTTCTGAACTGTGGGAGTACTGTAAACCAGTGTGCCACCGTGTGCCATGTTGGTAGCTGGAAATTGCTCACAGTGAGAATATTTATATCACAGAAATCAGCAGATCTCCAGAGAACCAGTGCTGAAGCCCTTAGCAGCACACTGCTAAGATCCCTGATAGCCCTACAGTAAACACGCCTATTTAACTAACTTACTGTTCCAAATCTTGTTTGATCATGAGATTCTTTTAATGCATATCTATCAACATCCTGAGACACACTTTGGGTAAGTTAGCTAATTACCAAAGCCTTTCCTAGTAACACATGTAAGTGATAAGCCTTTATGCAAACTTACCTCCCCTAATTCTTAAATGTTGAATTTATTGGGGGATATGATAAGGTTAGACAACTTCCTTTGAAAATAAAGTTAAAATTAAAGAACTTCAACTACCTGGGAACTATTGATGGATTTCTTTACAATTCCTTAGTCCTAAGCAACTTGGTTATGGGTAGAACATTACACAGAAAGACTCTATTTACATTGCATCACTGAATAAGGAAATCAATGCCTCTAATTCTTATTTTCTCCATCTGTAAAATGGGATCTATTACAGGGGTTTTGAGAAAATAGAATAAGATTTCTCATGAGGACTTTCTTGGCCAGCTGTGCAGTTTTTATATACAAAAGGAAATATGATTTGGGTGTTTCTGTCTGAAAGTGATATGATAAATATAGCTTGTGAACAATCTTTAGCCAAGTTTGCCAGATCTCAGGAGCCTTTTCCCAAAGGCCCATAGCAAAGTAGATGAAGCCTTGGTTTAAACTCCAAAGTGACCCAATTGTGCCCCTCGGCAACAGTTCAGATAAGATTGTTAAGATCCCTCCTGGCTTCATGGCCCAGCTCCCAGGAAACTGAGCTATGATTTCAAGAAATCATTTCAAGCCAGGGATCTCCAAACTGATAATGATTGTGAATGAGCCTGGGTGGTCCCACGACAGATGGAATTTGTGGCCTTTATCACTACAAGCAGTTATGGTTCAGAGTTCACAGGCAATTTGACTTAAGGCCCGAGAAAGGTGATTTTATCTCTCAGGTCAGTTTAATGGGGCACAGATCCATTCTGGAATAATATTTTTGAAAACCTAAACATTTTCACTTTTGCTAAAGGTTTAACTATTCTACCCTGCCTCTTAGGAGGTCACGTTTCAAAGGTATGACAAGAGGAAGGGGGAAACACTCAGCTTGCTGCCTTTCTCTCTTTGATCCCTCCGCATGTAAAAGGATGGCAAAATGCCCAGCACATGTTTCCTGCTTCTTCTGGCCTTCACCCAAGGTTTGGGGTCCTCAGTTAGAGGCCGAAATGCTGCTCTTCTGCTGCTTTTGCCTGCCGTGGTGATGTTCTGGGTGTTTCACAGCAAGAGCAGCATAGGCACTGACCTACGAGAGTGGACACTAGCCTCAGTCCTCGAGCAGCAGCCTGAGGCCTGACTTGGGCCAGGCATCCCTGCAAAGAAAACTGGATGCTTGCAGAGACAGGGGTCATTCAGTGGAGGAGGCTGAGGACAATATCAAACTACCAACCCCTATGGACATGTGTCCATGTTTTAACAGCTGATGTGAGTGTACCAGAGCATATTGGCTGCAATGTTTTTGGATATGGCTATGTGCTAGACACTTGGTCTCCAGTGCAATCGTATTGAGGTGGTAAGGTATTTCAGAGGTGGAGCCTGGTGGGACCTAGTGGAAGGTGGTTAGGTCATTAGGTATCGGACTCAGAATGAATTAATGTTCATCTCATGGAAGTGAATAAGGTTTTACAGGACTGAATTGTTTGATGTAAGAGCAGGTTTTTATAAAAGCTGGCATTTCCTGTCAATCTCTCTTCTACACTCATAACTTGCCACTCGATGATGCCATCTGTCACATCATGATGGAGACAGAAGGCCCTCATCAGAAGCTGAAAAAATGGAGCTGCTCAATTTTGGACTTTCAGCCTTGAAAGCTGTTAGCTGACTCAACCTCTTTTCTTCATAAAGTAGCCAGACTTGGGCACTGTTGTTATATCAACATAAAATGGACTAAGACACTGACTGAATGTCAGCCCTGCTTGCCTATTCCACTCCTCAGAAGTAAGACTTTGCGAATGACACATTTTCCAGTTTCTTGACTCCACCCATAGAGAATAATTCAGGTATGGGCAGTTATGGAAAAAAACCACTGCAGAGTAATTGTGTAATAACCAGGTATCTCAATGCTTAGGAATAGAAAAGGATACTGATATTTATCTTCCACTCATTTATTTACCAGTCACAGTGCTCATTGTCTTTGTAATCATTGTCTTATTTAACCTTCATAACAATTATATTGTCATGCTTATGTAAGATATGGGTAAAGTGGATAGGAATCATCACCATCATATTACAGGTAGGCCCCCATATCATACATGTCAAGTTACTAACCCACGTCACACAATTAGTCATTGGTACAGCCACGAATGGGTATGCCTGACTCCCTGAAAAGATCCTTTTCCCCTAGACTAGACAGAGCAGTGAGTAAGCATAGACTCTGGAGCCACATTGTTTGGATTTGAATCTTCTCTCTGCCATTTAGCTAGCTGTGAGAACATAAATAAGTTCCTTATCATCTGTGTATCTCAGTCTACCTATGTTTAAAATGGAAATAAAAGCATTTTCCTCATAATTTTGTCAGAATATTAAATGAGTGATAAAGTCTTGGAACAGTCCGAGCACATGGTAGTCACTCAGTAAGTCTTAGATCTTTCTTGTCCTTGCAACTCTTAAGACTGGAACACAAGTCCAGTCCAATTGTGGCCTGCATCTTTCTAAGCCAAGAGACCTCAAATCCAGTTCTTAATTTCATTGAGTTTCTATTTCCAAGCCAAACATTGGATGCCTAAGAAAATAGATTTTTCAGGGTTCCCTTTAGCCTTAAATATGTAATTCCAAGACAACATTAGGTTCTTTTGCTGCCCGTTAACTCCTAGTTATATTTTAATTTTCTGTTTACTTGCACTTAACTGTTTTACTTATCAGCTAGATGAAGAGGAGACTACTGGCAGAAGGGAGTGATTTAAGAATGTGAGGACCTGCCATAGGTAGAAAACTGGCTCAGAAGGGGTTTTGGGCGGGGACGGGGGGAACTGCATGGTTAATCGGATTATGTTGTTGTTTAGGTATGGGAAGACCAACAGATCATTAGAAGATCGCCACTGGAAAAAGTGTTTGTGTCTCACAGTTCCCCAGTTTCCAGGAGGGGCACTCCATTCCCTGGAAAGTCAGGGGGTCAGTCAAGGAGCAGAAGGCGGGACTGTGGGCAAAAGATTTTATTGGAAAGAGACTGGAGAGGCAAGTTAGCTGTTAAGATTGGAGAGTCAGTAATTTCAGTGGGCTCTGGAATAGAGAGGCTCTCTGTTCCTTAGTTGTCTGGTACCTGGCCCTGGGTGATTAGGGCAGATGCAAAGTGGTCCAGAGTATGAGAGCCTGATAAAGGAGGTCGGTGGAGTGTGGACTCCAGACTGGGTTGGGTTGTTCATTACTATCCTGAGGAACTGGCCGACCCTGGGAGCAAGGTCCCTGAGGTCAAAGCACCAGAATACAGAAAACAAAAGCCATGGTTGCTACCTGAAGCAGGGGCCACTGGGGATCTTAGGAAGAGGAGGGAAGACTCCAGATGGTGCATGGACAAACCCTGCTTCCTAGAGGCATCTTGTACCTGTCTGTCAGCCTGACTCAGTTCTTGTTCCCCTCCCTCACCACCCCCATCTCCACTGGGGCCTTCTGCACAGCAAGGCCAGTGGTGGAGCTCAAGTGACCACAGAGATCTTTGGTCCCTGGTTCTTTGCAACCCCCACTGAAAGGATTTCAAAGTTGCTCAGGGTAGCAGGCATGAGTTTATTAGAAGGGATAGGAAAAGGGACACAGGGAATACTCTCAAGGGAGAAAAAGAGAGAGTGAGTCCTCTCAGAGAAGGGTGGCATGCCCCTCTTGCCTTCCTGTTTTATTGGAGATCCCAGGGAAATTCCCCGAGAGTTCCACCCAGGTTCACCTCTTGACTGACAGTTGGCTGCATCTAACTTTCAAGTCTCCACTGCACATGGCCTTACCCCATGGAAGGGAGAATTTTCTATTATAATAACATGCTAAAGATCCAAGGAAACTCTGAGTCCCTTTGGCCCACACTGACCAGTTCAAATTGGAACTTATCCTTACAGATTTTTGAGGGGGTTTGCTTCTAATTATCTTGTCTCCCTGAGTCCTAGAATCTGGTCTGTGTAAAGGTCACAAAAGAAGTCCCCTCACCCCCACCTTTCTGGGAAACTTATGTTCTTATTGGCAATGAGGAGTCTTTGGTCTGCATTTTTTCTGCAGATAGCAGGTTGTTTGCTGAGGGTTGTAACATATCCTATATTGATTTAAGCCAGGTAGGGCCAGAGTGGCCTCAAGCAGATAGTCCTGCAAAAGGAAGGATGTGGGGGTCAGCACAGTGGGCCCAGTTCACAGAACCATCTCCCAACCTCATGTTCCCACTGTTCGTATCTGTCCACCACTTATCAGGGGCCTCCTCAAACTGGCCCTTCCACTTCTCCACCCTTTCCTGGCCTGTCCCTTGTTGCTCCTTTCACCTCTCCCCATCTTCTTCCACAAATATGTGGGTGTCAAACCTCTAGCCTCCTTGGGTTGGGCCCTGGAAAATCTTGCTTTTCATCCTTACTTCCCCATAACCAGCAACTCAGTCACACTTAAATCCTTTCAATTAACATATACAAACAGGCCTTTTACAGACTACCCACAGGGAGCGAAGCATATACAGACCCACAATGGGGCATATTCAGCAGTCAGAGGGGAACTTT